GCCGAGGGGATCCACGCTGACTGCATGGAGTAATAAGGAAGACTACTCACTACCGCTTGGGTTAAAGTAATTCTACCAGCCAAAGAAAGGGAAGAGGCTTTCCAGCCATCAAGACGGCGTTCCACCTTCTCCACAATTCCTTCATAAGTATGCTTAGTGACCCGCCCATGGATGACCGGCATGCCGAGATACTTGCCCAAGTTGTCGACCCTCACGAATCCGGTCCTTTCGGCGAGTTGAGTTTGGACCTGTTCGTTCACATTCGCCGAGAAGAATACGCTCGTCTTCGACACACTGATTTTTAAGCCCGAGTGAAGGCAAAATTCGGATAACACCTCGTTTAGGACATCCGCCTGGTCGGGTGAGGCTTCTAAAAACAATAGAAGATCGTCCGCGAACATAAGATAAGGAACCTCCACCGCCCCACGACCTAAGGAAATCGGTCGCCACTGGCCTTGATCTACCTTGTGCTGAATGAGGTGAGCCAGGCGCTCCATTGCTAAAACGAAGAGGTATGGTGATATAGGGTCACCTTGGCGGACACCACGGGATGGAGTAAACTCCTCCGAGACGGTGTCATTAAATTGAATTTGCATGGAGGCCGAAGTTATGCAGGTCATGACACCTCGAACGAAAGATTCCGGAAAGCCCGCTAGCCGGAGAGTATCCTCGATAAAATCCCACCGGAGATAGTCGTAGGCTTTTTCTAAGTCGACCTTCACCAAGAAATAGCCTGTTCGACCCGCTTTAGTTCTCATCGAGTGAACGAGCTCCTGAGCAATAACTATGTTATCCGAGATATGTCGGCCTGATACGAAACTAACTTAAGCTGGCCCGACCAGGCTTGGCAGCAAGGGCTTCATTCGATTAGCCAGAATCTTAGTCACCAATTTATACACAACATTAAGAAGACTAATCGGTCTGAATTGTTTGAACGTCTGAGGGTTGTCCACTTTAGGGATCAAAACAATTAATGTTTTATTCACTTGTGGTGGCATGAAACCATCGTGTAATATTTCGCGAACCAAGCGACTGACTGATGCGCCCACGATATCCCACTTTTGTTGAAAGAAGATCGCATGAAGTCCATCCAGGCCCGGGGACTTCAAAGGATGCATGGATCTAAGGGCAACGTAAATTTCCAAATTTTCATATAAAAATCATGCTTCGAAAATAGAAATCATTTAATCGCATGAAAATAGATGGTCAAGCTACCCTACGAATTAAGCTCTGAAAATTTACACAAAATTTCATCGCCCAGAAACATGTGAAACCACAAAGTTTCAGCTTTAAACTTGAAGTACCCTATTTTATAAAATTCGAACAAGATATCAGAAAAATGGGCACATTAATTCATACTCGGACTTAATGAATGAATCTGAACTTTAAAATTTTACACAACAATACACCGCATGCTAAAGTCCATGTATAAAAATCTCAGCCTTAAATGTTAACTGCTGCTATTTTTAAAAATTCATACGAGCAACAGCAGTTTATCAAATTTAAACCCAAACTGAATCAAAACGGACTCCAAAAATTCCCATCTTTTACAAACATGATCAAACACATAAAATAGGCTTCTGAGTAAAAATTCAGAATTTTCCAAGAAGTAACCAATTTATAAAAATTCAAACAATGTTTCTGCAGATTCGATAAATAAAATATTTACCACAACAAATCAACTCCAAAAATTCTAAAAATTTAACACAACACATAGAAGTCACAGAGGCATCACATATTCGAATTTAAGCTCATTCCATTCAAGCATGAATCTTTTATGCATTTAACATTATTCTGATCAGATTACACTTTAATTTTTAAAAATAGCTACAGGTCTCTAAAAATTACGAAATTTTTACACAATGCAGGCAATGAACAGATAACATATCCCTCAAAATTGCAAATCGTTTCAAGCAGCGAGCTATTTTTAAAAATTCGAACACCGAAACAACGATTAAAAAGCTCGACAACTTGGAAATTAATTCACAACATAAAATTTCTCGTCCGAGGCCTTTTCATAAGATCAAGGACTCGACATTGTTCCAATATCCACCGACTTACATGACTTTTGAGGTCTCGTTCGATTTTTTAGAAAATCGAAGAGATCCCGAACATATGATAACACATAAAATTACGACAATAAAGAAAATAACATCAATAATATATCTTTATATTCAAATACACATAACATCAAAGAGCATATACATTCGCAAGGCACAATTAACACATCAACAAACGCAAAAATAAATAACAAAGGGGTCGAAGCTCGATACCGTTCCCAAAAACGCGAGAATGGTTCGAACAGATTGACGGGACCACGGGCTCGACGGCTTCACGCGTCTCGCCGACAAAAGAGGGCAGCGACTCGGGAACGGTGGCTGCTCGTGGACAGGCCTGGATCACGGACGAGGAGCTGCGGTTGCCGGCAGCGAACAGCGGCTCGAGGTGGCACCGAAACGGCTTGAGTGGCGGAGCAACAGCCTGTTCGTGATGGCAAAGGATGAGGAGGCTCGTCGGGGTGGCTGCTTGTGGTGTTGCTGCTGGGGTTGGTCGCTGGAAGGGGAAGAGCTCGCCGGGAAGGAGGTGGTCGCGGCGGAGTTGAGCTCGCGGACAGGAGAGACGCTGGCGGGGTCGCGAGCAGGCAGGAGTTTCTTGCGGACGAGGCTCGCCGGGAGAAGCTCGCGATGTGCTTGCCGGATCGCCGGAGGGAGAAGCTTGCAGCGGCTTCGTCGGGAGTTGCAGAGTTCGCCGGAAGGCCTGGTTCGCGGCGGCAATAGAGGAGGAGGTGACGCAGGAAGGGTTGCAGGCGGCGGGATTTTGAGCGAGAGGGAGGAATTGAGCTCTCTGGCGCGATGAAAGAAAACGAAAAGGGAGAGGGTGACGGCGATCAGAAATTTTGAGAGAGAGAGAGTTGAGGGATATGTGACGAGAGAAAGAAAGATAAAAGTGATCAGATTTGAGAAAAGCTGCGCCTGAGATTTTTGACAAGGAAACACAAAAAATAGATACAGGATACATATATATATGCTATATTAGGTTTGACTTTGACACCAAGACACACACACACGCGAAAACAAATTGGGGAGGAAAAATATGTCGGGCCGGGCCTATCTCGGCTCGCGGGTCAGCCCGGAAAAATGGGCGAAGGCTTGGGCCGGATTATCGGGTTCAGTTCGCAAATTAAATCGGCTCACGGGCCGGATTACATTTCAAACGGATATTCTCGGGCCCAATTTTCGGTTCCAACGAAAAATTCTCGGGCTCGATTTCGAATGCAAAAGCGCGATAAAATAAACCGAACAATATATATATATATATATATATTATAATACACGTTAATAATTAAATAAATCACAAAAATCAATTAGACAATTACACATTTAGCATTTAATCACATTTGACAATTAATAAATATCATGACATTCAAGAAAAATAAATATAAATATTATCACACAAATAACAATAATAATAATAATAACAATAAAATAATAATATTAAATCTCAAATAATCCACAAATAAACAGGGCATTACAGATTAGCCCCTAATTTATCTTCTGAACTTGACATCGATTTCTTATCCATGAGCTTGTTTTTTCCAATACTCTGTGCATTCATGATTTTAAAAAGTTCTTTAAAAAAATCAATAAAAAAATCTTTGGGCTTTCTAAAATTGCTGTAACTTTTCATTCTTGCGTTCCTTTAATCTCTTCTGATTAGTCCCTAATTTATCTTCTGAACTTGACATCGATTTCTTGTTCATGAGCTTGTTTTTTCCAATAGTCCGTGCATTCATGATTTGGATCGAGTGCCTCGATTGCCTGAATACATTATAATCTAAAAATTAGCATTCGTATAAAGGATCAAATTAACATTGAAAATAATATATGTCCCAAGTTGCAATTATGTTTGTAGATGCTCGATTTTTTAAGGGTGTACCTGAACAATGGACAGAGAACGAAAACCAAACATTTTGAGCTCGTTGATGCTAGTCGAGGGCTGTAGAGTTGGTAATTCTTTCTTGCCCGAATGTATTTGCTTCGTTATTTCTTGATTAACTCTCAGCAGAACCACTTCCCAGCATTGCTCGGCTGAGCCGCACACAAAAGTCACGTTTGGTTGCTCTTCCATTTAAAAGAAAAGTTTTCAAACTTGTTTTATAGCGATTTTTGAAAAGAATATGCAAATTGTTTGTTTCACTTTATTCCAAGTTCTTCAAATTGAGAAAAGAAAAACAAAATGGCGGTTATTAATCACCTTGAACAAGGGACCTAAGAGCTCACCATCCATGATTTCTGAAGTTTACTTATCTTAAGAAGCGAGTCGCATATGTTGAAGAATACATTGCTTCTACATCCTGTCAAAATTTTAATCGACACGTTATATACTATGTAAGTCGAAAAAAAAAAGCATCCTTAAAGATCAATAGTTTAATATACAAAGAAAATGAGCTTTTACTACACCACAGTTTTCCATAAACAGCAGCCCCAAAAATAACGGGCTCAACAGCATAAAAGATTAGTGAGCAGAATAATCACAGCATAAAAGTTTTAGCATCATAATATGGCGTATAACTTGTGGCATCGACTGGCAATTTATTTTACCACTCCAATTGCAAGTTTTATGACATCTCCAACTCCAACCATCATCCTAAAAATCATGAAACAATTAATACTATTTTTTTTTTTAACAATTTCTAGCTTTTTAAAAATAAAATATTTAAATATAAGAAAAACATAAATACAAATATGTAAAAAAACAACAAAGCAGAAACAATTTCTTGAACTAACAAATAAATTGAACAAGAAACAGTACAATAAAACAGGTTTCTTGAACAAGAGAACTGGTTTCTTGAACAAAAAAACTATTTCTTGAACGAGAGACAGATTCTCAAAGAGTTCAACAACATGCTCAAGCATTCACGGCAAGAATAACAAAACAAGGCATCAAACCAACATACACATGCTCTTCTTATCTTAAACTTTAACAACAGTTTAAAAGCCATGCTAAATGATTTGAAAGGCTCTCAAAACACTCATCTTCATCATGCTAAACATGTAACAAGCTCGGCAAAATACAAGGTAAATTCAAGTCTTAAACACAACAACAAGCACTTCAATCTTCTCTTTTCTTTCTCCTGATCAATCCACACTTGGACTGAGCGCACAACTCTGAAACTGATCCATTCTTAGTACATAAATAACATGCCAGACCTCACAATAACATATTTATTTAAACTGAGAAAAAATGACATAACATATTTATTTAAACTTTCTCTCTTGATTCTAAGGCATGAAATATATATATCGTGGCTAAAACTAACACATTAATAGCTCATTTTCAGCGAGGTCAACACAACAAAAACTGAGGCTCAAACACCCAACAAATCAAGGCAAAAAGGTACCAAAATTCATGCTTTCACTTTCAAACTTCTCAACATTCATGGCATGCTAAAATCACAACTCCCTCCCAACACCAAATTAACATGCTAACAACAAGAAAACACATAACTCATTACCCCATGTCCTGCTCACTTATCTCACAATTTAACCGAATATAAACATGACCCTTTTAAACCAAACTAAGCACATAAAAGCATAAGAATTCGGCCAACAAAAGTACAAAGGAGTTCAGCCATTATACCTCGATCAGGAATTAAAATGGAAAAGAAACCAGGCTCGGGTTTCGGTCCTTTGCTCTCGGCTTCTCGTTTTTTTTTCTTTTTTTTTTTTTGCGTTCCCCGGTCTCGGTCCTTTAGAATGTCGCATATGGAACACAAAAAACATACTTAGCTATGTGGCTCTCTACAGCAACTCATGGTTTCACAACATCGCAATTTGCGATAATCAAAGTGTTCAGCTGTGTATGGTCGGCCTGTAAAAAACATAAAGTTACAGATTAGCTCAACAATGCCTTTTGAAAGTGGAAAAAACAAAGGCTAAAGGTTAAAGAAAACAAGTACGAGAACACATTCCATCACTACTATTTACAATCCAAAAAAGCCAATCAATTGAAACATCACGAAAAATCACCACAAACACATGATCTCAACCATCTCATGATCTTAAGATCAATAAAGCAACATAAGCACTTAAACCCATCTATCTCCAAAAAAATAAAAAGAAAATAAAATAAAACATACCTGAGTTGAAATCTCCTCAGGAGCAAACAATTTACCATCGCAGGACACTCCAATTTCACATTCACATTCCCATTCTCATCCTTCACAACCGTATACGAAACCTGCTTGGACTCCTCATCAACTTCGTTCATCTTGCTCCCAATAAACCTCTTCGCCGAGAAGAACGTGTTCTCGAGGTTAACCACTGCCTGCCTCTTCCCGACCTGCCCTACCAGACTATCACCGGTCTTGTTGTGCGCCACCACCGACGGCGTCGTCCACTGACCCTCAACGTTGGTCACGATCGTCGGTTGGCAACCCTTCATCACCGCCACGACGGAGTTGGCAGTGCCGAGGTCGATCCCCACCACCGAATTCGTAGTGACGAGATGCTCGCTCGTGGTATTTAGTTCAAATAGCCTTCCCAAGGCAAAAAAATTGGCCAAATGACCTTTGACTCAAAAATTAAACTAAAACTTAATGGAAAATAATATTGAACATGAAATGACAAACATGTCCTCTTCTATTACACCTCTTATTTCCTCCTTCCCCATTTTCACCAACGTTCAGAAACGAAAAAAAAACAATCAACTTCCCAATTCCTCTGCTCTCGCCCTCTCGCTCTCGTACTGATCGAACTGTTGAGCGGACGCCAACCAGCAACTTCTGTGCTTGCTATCGCCTTCTCGCTCTGTCCCTCTAAGGTATTTGATAAAATTTTTCTATATTGTTGTTCTTTGATTTTAATGTCTGTACTGATTGGAAATTTATCGAACAATGACAAGATTTGTTTTGTTATTGGAATTTTAAGCATCTCTCCTAACTCATATTAGATTTTCTCTGTTATTATTTTCATTTTTTTTTGTTAATATTTATTGTTAGAAAATTTGTTATTTTTTTCTCAAAAGAAGCCATTTGATAAGAAACAAGCTTTTGCTCGTGATTAAACCAAAAGCGATGGCCGCATTAGATTCTTCCGACCGAGTCCCAGTGGCAGAGTCTTGAGGCACGAATCCAATGGCAATCCAAAGCCATCCTAATTGAACATTTTCTCCAGTGGTTTCGTAAAACCTCTCGCAGGATAAGTGAGGCATAAGCGTATATGTATATCGGGTACTAAACTAATTCAACCAGCTATGCTTGCCACCCCTTATGTCTTGGTACTCTACCCTCCCATTCATAAGAGAGTGGTAGCTGTCTTGGTTTCTGTCCCCCTAATCCTTTGTGCCGAGCCCGTGACAATCACAGCATCCACCTCAAGCCACAATATGATGGGCAAATTGTCCATGATTCCTCGTATTTAAATGTGATGATTTTGGATTGGTCAAGATTTAAGTTTTGCAGTGATTCCTGGTCAAGCTTTAAGCTTTAAGTTCATGTGAGTCCTGGTTTTATGCACTAAGGGTAGAAGAGATGATAATAATATCGTATTTTTTAGTTCCAATGTTGCCAATATAGTGTTTTAGTTTCATTAGAGCCAATCTCTCCCTCAGACAGATTGATTTTGAAATTGTTGAAGAAGCTTTATGTTTTATATTGATTCATGGGTAGAAAATCGTGTTTAACAAATTGTTCAACGAATTGGAATATAGCTTCGAGTGCTAATACTGATTAGTAGTTTGGGAATTCGTATGTTGAACAAATTGTTATATCTGTATTGGAATTCGTATGTTGAACAAATCCGTATGTTCAACGAATTGGAATAAATCTGTTGTGATCATTTTTGTTATTTTTTCGTTACTGTTTTGTCATTTTTTTTCCCCCGTTTTAAGTCTTTTAGTTGGTTTTTAGTTCGTTTTGTAGTTTATGGTGTGTTTTGCTCTATTTTGGCTTTTTATGTGTTTTTCGTGTATTTTGTCGGTTTTCTTCTTTTTTCTTCTCGTTTTTAGTTTGCAGGTCCGAAGCCCCGTGAGGAATGGATTTAGCTCGAAAATTAACCCAGAAAATATGGTTGAGTAGAAAGGTTCGTTGGTGACATATAGGAAAAAGCATAACCAAATTTCGAGCTCAAAAAGGCGAAAGTCGCGCAAAGTACATTCAGTGTGTAGGTCAAGAGCTTTGGGAGAATATGACTTCAAGAATAATTTGGACATGCAAGTGTTATTAAATAGAGGGCTTCGTTGGCGACGCGTATGTAACGCTCCGCCCAAACTTAATTATCAGAGTGCGATTATAAGACATCTTTTTAAAATAGTTTGAGAAAATGATTCGGAGCGTTACTAAAACATTTATTTTATCTTTTAGAAATCCGTTACGACCGTTTAAAAATTTACAACAAAAACGGATTTACATAATATACAATCCGACTATAAAATCGGATCAAAAGTCAAAGTTTGTCAAACGGTAAATTCAGTGGAATATAGCGTGGTAAAATATACAACAAAATATTTAACTTCGATCCACCCGTCAACTTCACAGCTCCGAACCGACTTCATGACCTGAAAAATTTGTTAAAAATGGGGTGTGAGTACCACTGTACTCCGTAGGAACTCATACTAAAGTAAACAACAATAATAATGGTAATATCATGATCAAAAGCATATAACATAACCGTGAAATTCCGGGTCAACAGTATAAACCGGACCGGAATCCGTGAATCTACCGGCTGTCATGATGATAATGATAATGATAATGATGATGACAATAATAAGCCGGAATCCATGTGCACATACTAGTGGTAGATGACGCCACTAGAACTTAGAACGGAATTATGACAACCTGAACCGGCCAACATCCATTCCAAGCGAAAAACATAATTTGACATACCTTGAACATGATATCGTAATTATAATCAATGTAATACCCAGTCTGAGTCCCCACCTGTACTGAAGATATGAAACTGGAATGCTGATAGTCGTGAACTGATCAAACTGTAACATAATATAAACAATTACTAAATACTATGCTCAGATCAATAAATTTAACTGTTAAGATGCTCGACTCGACTTAATATGATGTCCAGATATATAAAGGAACGCTCTAAAGGTTCACAGAAATAATTCTAAATCCGGAAATTATACTGATATGCTTAACTGATCTGATTTGGCTCGAAAAATAATTAAATTTCAGAATAAGACTCGGACTAAAAATTACGAACCAAAACGGACTCGAACTGTCGGCTAAACCGGCCGGTTCGCTAACTGGATGAACCTGGTCGGGCTGAACCGGACCGGGTTGGACCACCGGTTCACACTAGACCGGGTGGTCACGGGCTGGCATGGCTCGGTCCCGTGCCGGGCCTGCTGGGCCATGGCACGGCACTGGACACGGGCTAGGCATGACTGGCCTCGGCACTAGGTGCTGCTGGGCGCGGGCAGTGCGGCTGGCACTGGCCCTGGCACTGGCCGGGCGCGAGGGACGCGGGATAGGCGCGTACCCGGGCTAACTAGGCACTGGGCGTGCGGCTGGCACGACCCAGGTGCGACTGGCGCGAGAAATGACACGGCCAGACATGACTCGTGCGTCTCGGGTGCGACTATGGCTTGTCAGGGCGCTGCCGGGCGACCCTGGGCACGCGGGCGTGCTGTTGGGCACGTCCCGGGCCATCCTGATTGCTCGGGCGTGCAGCTGGGCACGTCCCGAGGCCCCTGAACCCTACCTGGGTTCACTGAGGCATGGTATGACACACTCGGGTGCGCTTTTGGCACGACCCGAGGTCTCTGCGCGTGGCACAGGCGACTGGCGCGGGGTCGCGCATACACGACCCTGGGACAGCATGACCGCTAGGTGTGGCGCATGTCCATGACCGGCCCTTACCGGCTGTTCGGCCATTTATCTTGATCAAAATGACATAACTTGACATGATGAACATATTTATATGTACATGAGTCTGAGGGTCATGATAAAATATGAAAATTAGCATAACGGGCCATGGCGTGCGCGATAGGCGCGTCCGACGGCCTTAACGTGTACCCTCGACCAAACATGAACTTTTCTCGGGCAACATGAGTTGATTGACCATACTTTATCATTTAAAGGCTGTTGGAACACAAATGTCCCTAACAAAGTTGATCACAATGAAAGATACCCTAGTAGGGTAAGACACGGCCCGTGGGTGCGTGCTACGTGCACGGTCCACTTCCCTTGGCCATTTCATCAACAAATCGACAACTTATCTCGGGCTATCTTTTAAAACTGAACATATCACATTAAATAAAGACTAATGATGCATGGTTTGCTCGAGAGACGTTGGCTATATAAAGAGATGTTATAATATGGCCTAAAATGCACACCCGAGAGCATTTTCGAAGAATACATGAACTTAGACCCATAATTTGAACTTGGTATGATACAAGTAACATCATAACAGGGTTAGAATCATATTACCCTTTGATTACCCTAAGAAAGTTGGCAAGAAATTGGTGTTGGTTCGGTCCCTTTCTCTTCCTCGCGCGCGTACGTGAAGTTAGGATTAAAAGATCTTAATCTTGTTTATTGTTTGCTTAAGGTATGTTTAGGAAATAGCTTAGTTTATATGCTAAAATATGTCCCGACATTGGCATTTATAAGAGGTGAAATTGGATGAAAATGTGAAGTAATATGCTCGGCCAACGAACTCGTGACATTTGCCGCGTCCCTAGGGCACGAGGTGTCCTTTCTCTAGCTTAGTCACCATTTACACTTGTACAAAGAGGCCACTTGCTAGGGATGATGGATATCACGAAATTTTCTCCAAGTTTTCCCATCCACTTGCGGTCACTAATTACTTAAGCACGCTTAGGGTTTCATTATGCGCGATTACTCTAGATTAAGGCGATTAGAAGAAAATTAAGCACCCTAGCCGTGCCATGAGCAATGTTTAAGGACATATGATAGTAGAATGATTACTTAGGCTTAAAATGAACATAATTGAGGTACTTAAGGAACCATTAAGTACGATTATGCGCATGATTACGCACGATTAGCGCAAGATTAGCATATTTACCGCTCGATTAAGTATGATTTGATTTGATAATATTTTATTGGGTGATTGAACATAAATTGACTTATACTTTGGATTCCAAGAATAATATGAACATTACGAAGCTAAGTACGTAATTTACATTAGGTAAAAATGGGCTATTACAATCTGCCCTCCTTAAAATATTTCCGTCCTCGGAAATATCAAACTGAACACCTATACATGATACATGAGAAATATATACATCAAAACTGAAAATCAAGAAAACGGGCGCGAATATCAGCTTCTCGCTCCCAAGTGGCACCGTGGCGATCCCACTGAATACGAACGAGGGGAATCTCGCGATTCCGGAGTCGACGAACCTCTCGGTCCAAAACGGCTACCGGTTTCTCCTCGTAAGATAAGTCTGGCTGAATCTGAATATCGGTATGCTGAAGAATATGATCTGGATCGCACACGTATTTACGTAACATGGACACGTGAAAAACATTATGAACATTGGATAATTCGGGAGGCAAGGCTAAACGATAAGCAACTTCGCCCACTCGTTCGAGAACTTCGAACGGGCCAATATAACGAGGATGCAACTTTCCTCTCTTTCCGAATCGAATGATCCCTCGGAATGGACGAACTTTAAGAAAGGCTCACTCCCCAACTTCAAATTGAATATCACGTCTGTGCTGATCGACTGATGATTTCTGCCGACTCTGAGCTGCCTGAAGTCTTTGTCTGATCAACTCCACGTCTGCCGCCGTTTCCACGATCCTGTTCGGACCAAGTACTCGGCGTTCACCGACGTCGTCCCAATAGAGAGGGGAACGACATTTACGACCGTATAGTGCTTCGTAAGGAGCCATTTGAATAGAAGAATGATAACTGTTATTATAAGCAAATTCACATAATGGTAATAACGACTCCCACTTAGCACCCCTGTCAACAACCAAAGATCGCAACATATCTTCCAATGTTTGAATAGTCCGCTCGGATTGTCCATCAGTCTCTGGATGATAAGCGAAGCTAAACTCTAATCTCGTGCCCATCGCCTTGTGCAAACTTTCCCAAAATCTGCTAGTGAATCTGGGATCTTTATCTGACACAATAGTAACAGACACTCCATGGAGTCGAACAACTCCTTCGGTATAAATCTCGGCTAACTTGTCCAAAGACATAGTCATCGATACTGGCATGAAATGA